GATTATACATCACATTTGCTAAATTTGCTTATATAACCTTACATTAAGTGTTTTAATGAACCATGCTATAGGCTTACAGAAGTACTCTGCTAATGACTATCAGCCTGCAGACTGGCTAAAAGAATGCCACACATCTATAAATCCTTAAATCCATGATGAAGCAATCAACTGACATACCCAGAAACACACACTTAAAATCCGTCACATTATCTCAGGCTCGCCAGTGACTATGAGGCAGAACAACGGAAGGAGTGATCATCATCATAACCAACAAATTTATCAAGAAGAAAAGAATATGATCAGTCAATTGAAATCAGCTACTGTGACACCTGATACTCTCCAAACGCACATGTCCCCTGTAGCTGCTGCATGCAGAGAATGGTAGGAGCTACCGGTAGGTGAAGGTCTGGAACCTAACAAGGTCCAAGTGCAAAAATTATTTCATATGGCAATTACTCTAGTGCACATTAGTTAGTCTCCTTCCAAAATATGCAGGAAAGAAACTGTCAGCTGAATAAGGATAAACAAGGAAAGATGGGGCTACTTTTTTAAAATGCTGACTTCCCATAATATTTATCTACATGTAAAGTAGAAGAACCTCCATACTCAGAAAATACTGTTTTCATCTGCTATTAAGGAAAAGCTAAAAAGCTAACTTGTTCCCTGTTAGCTGATCCAGTGAGCTCACTAATGTTTCACTGAACATATCGTGGGGTTTTTTCAAGCTTTGAGTATGTGCACTCAACACTGACAAACAGGCATGACACAGACACAGGATCAAGCCTTATCTTCTTCCTTGGAATGCTCCGTCTACAGTCGAACCTGTGGTGTTAACCCACAACCCTTCAAGCTTCTGATTACTCGTGCCTCTGAATTACGGTTACTTTCATACATATAAGTAATTTTGACTTTTTTACAGAATATTTAAGTATGGAAACATGGCAAAACAAAATTGTATGCAGGCACTCAGGTGTCTGGAATTAATATATTATGCTCACTAGGTTTTACATTTTATTTACGGTACCTCAGTCTGAATGGAATGTCTTCTGTAATTGCTCTTTAAGGTAACATTGGTTTTGGTTATTTACCAAAACCTGTAAATACAGTAAAACATAACTGTGATGTGTATTATCTGTGTATTATGGGTATATACTATGGGATATAAAAGATTTTTATTTTTGTAGAGTAGTAAAACCAGAATTGAATCTGCTAAACACCAGAACTATTGAATACAGAATAACTTGCCACCACTACTACTGCAGATCCGGCTCCACTGGAAGCCACAGTGACAGAAGTACTATAACAGACGAAGCATTTGCAACTTCCAACATCCTAATTAAACATTAAAACTTGCTTCAAAAAAGATTAGGTGAAGAGGCTGTGGGCTTTTTTTTAAACACCCCAGCTCCTGATTTACAATCTACTGTTGCTGTTGCTACTGCTAGTACTGGAGTGCTGAACTGGCTAAGTTTGGTTACTCAAATTTGTCCCTGCAGGGTTTTTTGTCTGCCTATTTGTTTGTATTTTTCAAGACAGTTCAAGTTCATCTGCAACTTCTTTGAGACTAATGTCACCTTGCCTGTGGTTAGCTTTCTTGCTGAATTTGCTCTCTTCCAATCATCCCTTCGGGACTTGCAAAAAAAAAAAAAAACCAAAAAACCAAATAAAATCAAGAAAAAGTATTGAGCTCTGGTACAGTATTTTCTTACACTTGCAGTTTTATGAATTTTATGCCTAACTTAACTAAAACGCTCCACTACAGTAGGAAAATGAATAAAAGTCTGTCCTTTAGCTACCTCAATTCCCTCCAAGGTAAGTGCCAGTTCCAGTTTCGCTGTTCATAAATCACTCTTACTTTAGCTTAATGGGGTTTAAAAACAAATATTTGCTGATAATTTGAGAAACGTCAGTTATACTGTTCAGCAGTGTTTGGCATGAGCAAACTGTAGTCTGAAATACGTTCGCTGAGCAGGAAGCAAGTTCAATCAACTCTCCTCCTTTGTAAGGATTTATCAGATTAATTAAAAAATTACGATGCATAACCTAATCACAACTTAATTTAAATTTCCTCAAAGGTACAGTAATAACATTACAGTGGTTGATTAATGAAATAGACTGTGTTTTAATCTAGGAAATTCCTAATTGTCCTTAGTGCTAAAATTAGTATATCCAACAGGAATCAATCAGGTAGGTAGATTTCTTGAAATACAACTGCAATTACAATTATATAATATTAACCGAATATATTTTAATAACCCCACCAAAATATTTAATCACAAAAATCATGGTAGACCTATATGGCACACCTCACCCATCCCACTCCTCAGCAAGGCTAATAAGCCCAAGAAGCCTGTACTGCTGTATACTGTACTGCTGCCACTAGCTCAAGACAGCTCATTCACAACTAGTTTGTGTTTCTCTGTACAGCATAGTAGTATGTCACGTAATCATATCCTTACAGAAACAAAGGCAATTTAGCAAAAAAGAGAGCACAAATACAAACTTCACAGCATTCGCCAAAACTAGTGTATGTCCTATGTGAATCATGTAACACTTACTTCTATGACACACCAATGTCCACACAATGGACACTGGTGGACATTCAACAGTTTAATGAGCATGCACATGAACCCATATGTAAAACCCCCAAAACACACCACTGAATGAAATGAGATACCTGTATCCTGAGAGAACCTCACTTTGTGCCGGCTTCAGAAAAGAAGTCCTTCCTCTCATTTACTTCAGGATAGAAGAGATTTGACCATGGCTATACAAAGTTCATAGCTTCTTTATACATAATCAATCATTCTCCAGTAACCAGAAAACTTAGGCCGATCTAATTCTAATTCTATAGCACCATAAAAACATGGACCTATGTGTACATGCATGTACACATGCCAGCACCATAATATATCTGCTTCACAAGATCCCTACTTGTTTTAATGATATAGAAACATTTTCCCCAAACCAAACGTCAGACAATGCCTGGCTGCAGAACAATTACATCCTCCATTCTATTTTGGAAAACGTAAATAAGTTATATACTATCTGGTGACATATCACATACCTGGTCACAGTTTGTTAATAATCTTCTCCAAGTATTTTGGAGATAAAACCAAAAATCCATCCTTAAGAAACTCTTTGCCCACTGGGATCAGATTTATATGACATATTGTATGCCCATTTAATAATTCCCAAGAACCCCTTCTAAAACCAGGATATAATGAAACCGAACATATTTTTATAGCCCACCTATAACCTCTTTAAAAAACAGATTTACAGCAGATCCTAAGCATTAAGTTCTAATGTCATAAATCGCGAGATATCACTGTTTTCAAAGCCCTTTAAAAGAATTATTTGACTTCAAGACATAGGAAAACAGATATGTTGTTGTTTCATAGAAAGAGAAACAGACCTAAAGCCACACAATGTTCTAATGAGGGATATATTTAGTGGTTGCTGAAAGCATCCTAACTGCTATTTCCCTCTATCTATATAGCTGGCACTCAATTCTTTACCGTTTTTCCAGAATTTTCCCCAACGGTGAATCATTTATACTACATAAACTAAAGCTATTTTTAGTGATTGTCAGATTTGAAGACTACAATTCTCTGCAGTAATTGCACCTTCCTCTTCTTGCATATAATCTCTCAATTAAAACAAATGTGTCCCCAAAGAACTTTGAAGAAGAGGCTGAATTAATAAACTGTTTAAGTGAACCAGAAGCAAGCCAATCCCTTATGAATACAGAGTCTGTAATTAGCCAAAATGCTCCATTTTGCTATTCACAGTAAGGCTGAGGCTCAATAAAAATTAAACACTGATGCAGGCAAGGCATTCCCATTGGGCTCACATATATTAATAGATACATTACCACTCACCAGTTGCTTTATGTTGAAGAAACCGGGACACAGCTTGAAATTGGCTGGCTGCCTATTTGTTATAATGGAAAGCTATTGGTAATTAAGTATTTTCTCTTATTTTCATATCCCTAGTGTCATAAACAGGCTAAGTAAGTACTTAAATGTGGCTCCTAACAGCCCCATGCTCATAATGGTGCCAAACAGATACGACTCAGGTTCTGACTGATCAGAGAATGACACTTCATAGATTCTGCATGGAGTCACAGTTACACCTTTGCATCACCCCAAACCAATAATCCGTAGCACTGGTTTTTCCAAAACCTCTAAGGATGAGGCCATCAGTTTCTTAAAACCATGTCTGCATTTAGTTAGCTTGATTAGGTTGCAGTCAGCAGTCCACGCTTCAGTGATAACCTTTCTAAGCAAAAATGCAGAATAATTTAGGTGGCTCCATTACTACTCTGCTGAAGGCAATTTATAGAAAAATGAATATATAGAATAAAGTAGTTTGGAACTATGATTATTTTGACTTCAATGGGACAGAGTCAGGAGAACAACGAGTGTTTATGAAAGCCCTCTTTCAAGCCACAGATGAGTAACCCATGAATGGATCAATCCTACAACTTATCAGCTCCTTCAAATTCCTCAGAAACTGAAGCACTCAGCATCTCTCTTGTATCAAGTTAAAATAAATACTATATCAACTTTTCTATGCAGCCAATTAAGAAACTTAAATATGTAGCTAATGAAATGTTTAGTTTATCAAATAGTAAGCCACTGTTCAAAAAAAGGGTTTTTCTAAAGCCTGTACTACAACAATATCATCAGTTTGATAGGGCTATAAAAGCACCTCAAGCTGCAACTGCAAAACAATTCACGGCCTTCGAAAAGCATGTTCCAAACTGCATGGGATGATGTTCTGAAGTTTCAGTTCTTATCCAGAAATCCTCTATTATGTTAACCTTTTGTAATTTGACTTACTCTGTCTTTACAAGGTCATCATGACTTCCACTTCTGCAGCAGAATCCAATGATCAATCGAGTGTGAGGATCATTCAAAGAGCAAACAAATGCACATCACCACTTGATGGCTTTAATTCTCATAAACTTTACAAATTCTAGGCTAGTTTATGCTCACCTTTCGCAGGAGAAAGCAAATACGCTCAATATTTCTCAGCCGCTCTCTCTGTCAAGAAAAAGTGGGAAAAAGGTAGGAGATTAGCTGGTGTTATAAATTAAAGACAATATATTACAATTACAATGGGTCAAGATCACAATTAATGGCTGCAGGGAAGCAACACACATTATTAATCTGAAATGACAGTATTCACTTCTTACCTACTGCTTGCAAGCCAAATAAATTACCCATTTCAAAGTCCTTATAAATTATTTTTTCATCTTTTACTGGGTGTGACAATATAAACTGGGGATTCAAGTCTGTGTTAGCCTTGAGCCAGAGGCTGCAACTTCTTTTAAGTCAGCATTTGTGGCTCTATCCAATGGTGCCAATCTCTACTACAGAGACTTGGTCTTGCATTTTCAGGTCCCCAACCTCTGGCTTCGAGATAATTCTGAATGGGAAAAACAACTATGAAGTTGGTATGGAAGCCCTTCCTCTATCACCAACGGGGTGCCTGAGCAACATGTGATATTAGAATTTAACCCATTAGTGAAAAGAATATCTGAAATGTCCCAGAAATGCCACTTTAAACAACAGATGCATTCATAAATACTGAAAGTCACTGTAATTAAGCACTGTGACTCAAAAGATGCTCTAAGCTCGATTCACAGAAAGAAGACAAGTCAAAGACAGGTTTTCTTTTAAATGGCTTATATTGAGAAATTCACTAGTAAAATCAGATTTCCCTCTGCATAACCCCATCACTGGAGTTACTGTGAAAGATTCTACTGTTGGTTACACTGCAAAAGGCAGTGTGGTTTTGTTGCCCTCAGAAGACTTATCTGGTAATATTTTCATTTAGACATGGGAAAAAATATTCTGAACAATGACCTTTTTTAAACAGGTAATGTAATATACCAATGTGAGAAGCCAACTCTCCCTAAGCTTTTTGCTTTTCAAATGTTTTAAATTTGCTCCAAGTTTGAGTTTTATTTCTATTCTCCAAAGAAATGTCTCTTTTCCTTTACTGTCTCGAAGTTTAAGCCATTTTTTAAAAAAGGATCATTTTGGAGAGACAGTGAGACAGGGTAAGCTTGATAGGCACCAGGCAAATATTGTGCCTCCCTCTGGTGTCTGTGATCTAAAAGAGATTCAGAAATTTTAGACTCACGGTTGCAAACATAAGAATGGACATGTGTGGATGTGCCTGTGAAGCTGCAGAAAGCTTTTTTGCCTTTAGTCGAAGGTAAGTGGAGAGGGAAAGATAATCCTCTGAATTCCCTTTAGAAGACAGATGCCTAACTGCAGCTGGCCTTGGACAAGTAGGAAGTCTATCTTTGAACTGCAGGTAATAGAATGTGAACCAGGAAATTTGAATTAAATTCTCAGTACTGCCATTGTTTTTGCCTCTGATTTATGCCTAATTCAGCCTTCTCTTGTCAAAAAGGCTCTACCCTCTGTCCTGAAAACGTTGTGGAAGACACATGAGTAAACAACAGACATTCTTATAGCACAATAAAGAAAACTACCCCACCAAATAAATGGAATATGGGCACGAGCAACTATGCGTAAGGAAAAATGAAAATACACCTGACCAAAACTATAAGAAATAAGAAATACCTGCTAAAAATCTTCCTTTTATGTCACAGAATCATAGAATCATTAAGGTTGGAAAAGACCTCAAAGATCATCGAGTCCAACTGTCAACCCAACACCACCATGCCCACTAAACCATGTCCCTAAGCACCTCATCTACACGTCTTTTAAATACGTCCAGGGATGGGGACTCAACCACTTCCCTGGGCAGCCTGTTCCAATGTTTAACCACTCTTTCAGTAAAGAAATTTTTCCTCACGTCCAATCTAAACCTCCCCTGGCGCAACTTGAGGCCATACAAACAATTGAGGCCAGGTCAATACGAAGGCATCAACATGTATACTGTGCAGAAGAAGGCAATCGGAGATTATTGCTTGAGTTATCACAAAAAGTTTCATAGACGAGAGTCAAATATGTCAACTGATCACAGAATACTTTGCTGTGTTCTCCTGGAAACTCTATGGTTAACTTTTTGATTACGCCACTAATATGATTGAAACAGGGACTTACGAACTTTTTTCATCCTGGAGACCAATTCCATTACCATTTTACAATAAAAGATGCTCCCCATGGAGCATCTTACAAGTTTTAGGAAGAGAACAAATTACTGGAATTTGGTACATATAAATACACATTTCTTGTGTGCAGTTCTCAAGATGGGAAATAAAAACAGATGAAGTGAATTCAAAATCAGATTACTTCCAGTAAATTCAAAACCAGATTACTTCCATTGAAGTCCTCTACAGGATTTCTTCATATAATTTCTTTCTTCTGTTCTCATTCTTTGCTTGTGTGTTAGTGAACAGTAAACAAGTCTTCTTACTTGAAGATTCATGTAAAGATTATGCTTAAAATCATCAGTGGTCTTAAGCAGTACCACAAATCCTCTGCTGAGTTATGAAACAAGGTTAAATGGCAGAGTACTAGCTACTGAATCTGGTTATCATTTGTAGGCAATTCAATAACTTGATACTCTGTAGAGATCACATTCAGCACCTGTCATAATCATTGTAATTCACAGTGAGATGACAGGGAGCCGAGTTCTGCTCTCCGTTCTGGTGGTACAAATCTGATGCATTTTTAACTGTAGTCAGCTAAATCACCCTAGATTACAGCTTTAATTAACAGAGGAATTTTCATATGCTTAAATCTGGGTTGCATTTTGGTTCATTAGGTAAAACTGAGTTTACAGTCCCAGGGTGATATTTAACCTTTTCCATAGCAGATGCAGCAGAATATGTTATTTACTCTTAAAGCACAGGAGAATTTAAGGCCCTGCCATGGGACAGAGAGGTCTAGGAATGCACGTCTCAGCAAATCCCTTCAAGCTTTTGACTCATTGATATACACGGTATGGGAGAAGGTGGTCATCCCATGCTTGAACAGAGAGAAAGCAAATGATTTCAAAAAGGAAAACCTGTGCCACAGAATGAAAAGATAAAAAGAAAGCATTAGCATCACATTATATATCCTTCAGTTTTTGAACTTCCAAATTATTGTCCTGCCTCCTTCAGCAAAAAGGAAAGCTATTAGCATAAAGAGTCGCCATCTGGCTCCCTAAGACTGGCCCAATAAATCCATTTTCCAAACTACAGTTGACTTCACAACAGACTCTACATTCACTTCCACACTCATACTTCCACTGACAGCTCAGTGCATCTCCCTTTCTTTAGTAGCTGTTGCTTAGCAAGCCACTGGTTGTACTCACCGCGTGGACTGGGTTGCACTGATCTATTGGGCTTTTGAAGTCTGTCCGAAGTTCATCAAAGGCGATTATCTGAAAAAGAATTTTTTCAAATATTATAATGAATGCTCATTCAAATGCTTATTTTTCGTTTAGGGACTACTTAGATGTATCGCCTCCCTTCCTCCCTTTCCAGAGAAAATATGGGAAACTAGCTTCCCCAATACACTCCTTTAAGAACTGACTAGTTAAAAGAAAACACGGGATACTCCTACATATAACACCTAGAACCCATTAATCTGTCACTCCATAAAATCATATCCATAGCCTTTTCAGCATTGTTGCCTTCCAGATTTCTTCCCTCATATCAGCTACAATTTTTTTCTCAAACTTCCAAATGACATAAAAGTATTTCACAAATGAATGCATCTCCAGACTTGGTAGAAAAAGTCATTAGCTGCCTAAAACACAGAGATGCATCAGATATGCTATTCCAGGTTTAATACTACATTACAGCCCCTTTTTATTAGTTGTTAGACCTACTTCAGATATTAGAGATGCATCATATATGCTATTCCAGGTTTAATACATACACAACAGCCCGTTTTTATTAGTTGTTAAACCTACTTCAGATACTAATTCTGAATTAGTATCAGTTTAATTATTATTAAGCCACTATTCATTATCAAGCAAACTCCTCAAAAGGTAAACTACTCCAGAACAAAACACCACCTTCCTAAATTCCAGCAGGTTTTAGAACCTTTACCTCAGACCTCATTAATGGAGACATGCCTTTTGCTCATGTCGTTTAGTTTCCTCCATTAACTGATGGATTCAGACACACTGGTAATTACTGCCTGCTTTTAAAGTACAGCAGATAAAAGTGCCCATAAAAATAATAATGCTTGATAATGTTTTCTTGGAAAGAAAACAGCTGTAGTAACCCTCAGCTTATTTCATTCAAAGATCTCACAGCACACTCTTTATTTTATGTTCGTGTTCTAGTAATACCTTTTCTTCTGCTTGCTTCACCCAAGGAATGAAAGCTCACTATGACAGGCACCACATACATATATGTTAAAACAATTATTTCAATGAATTTAGACAATTTACAACCCAGGAAAATATTTGTTCTCAATAAAAAGATGATGGAAGTACAAGGTAGCAGTTGGGTAATTAGTATATGAGTGGAACAACCATTCTCTGACATGTTACAGCATACTTGCTGCCTAGCTGTTAAAAAAATAACCAAGTGGGTGTCAACGCAGACCTGCTGTATAGGTAAAACACATTCATTTTACAGATATGGAATGCAGGAGCAGAAATCCTGAAAATTACCTATCCATGATTCATTTAATAATCTTGTGAGAGGCTTGAGAATAAAACCTAGAGCTACAACCCACAAATCTAAGCATTACCCTGCATCCCACTCTAATGCGGCATTCATGACACTGGAGCACATTTAAAATCAAAAGGTGGCATTTTGCAAGAGCACTCTACAGAATTCAATTTATTCAACTATGACAAGTCGAAGTGCCAGAATAAACCACAAAGGGAATGATAAAACATGACTGTAAGTCAAGCATTTCTCCCCATGGATGCAGTATCTCTACAAGTTAGGAATTAGATCTGCAACGGATGTTTAGACTAAGGTAAAAGAGCAAATAACAGAAACTGTGAGAGGGTCGGAGTACAGTTGTGAAGAATAAGGCTTATGACACCTCTATATTTAATACTTCTTGAACAGGTCTTCATATTCTCAAGCTGAGCCAACTGTTAAGAGGGTAACAACCATGCAAGTCAGATGCACATGCTTCTGTTTGTAATTGGGTATCAACATCAGCACTGACAGCATTGACAGAAAGGGGGAAGGATGGCCCTGTAACAGGTAAGAGAGCTGCCTCTGTTCATAGCTGTGCCACTGATTTACTCGTGGCATCAAGTAAATGATGCCACAAGATGCACAGCATCCTGTGCATCTCCCTTAAACTCCCTTTGCCTCACTGCACTGGTACTTGCAGATGTAGCTTTAAGATAGAAAACTGTTACGAGCTTTGAGTGACAACTGCTTTTAATAATGTACAGTGGTAACAGCTCTTTTGCTGTT